GGTCGGAAAGCGCAGAGCTCTTCCCCTCAAAGCCCCCAGACCCAGGGTTTAGGGCTTAGGGTTTCAGGGTTTAAGGTTTAGGGTTTAGGGTTTAGGGTTTAAGGTTTAAGGTTTAGGGTTTAAGGTTTAGGGTTTAAGGTTTAGGGTTTAGGGCCCACCTTGGGCTTGTAGAGGACCTTGTCCTCACCCACCTTAACGGTCATGTGCACGCGTCCGAGTTCCTGAGCTGCTGCGGGCCCTGCACCCTTGAACCTTCAACCCTAAATCCCCCTTAAACCCCAAAGTCCCCAAATCCCTACAACCTAAATTCTAAACCTGTAAATCCCTACACCCCAAACCCTTAAAGCCCTGGACCCCCAAACCCTTGGGCCTCCAAGCCCCAGGCTGCTAACCCCCGAACTCGCAACCCTGAACTACCTGTAGTCTCCACTGCAGTTCCTTATAGGATCCTTAGGGAACTGCAATGGAGAACATAGGTACAGCCTGGTTTTAACAGACTTGAACCGAAGGCCCTCGCAGCGGAAGGCGTGTCCGTTTAAGGGAATCGGATAGGACTCCCTTAACGAATGTGCCTTGACCGGTTGGGCCCACCTGAATCCTGTATGCAAGAGCCCAAACCGTGTAGAGTTCTAGCTTCTTGGAGGTTCAAAGGCTCAGAGGTTGTGGTCTTTGGGGTTTGTGAGCCAGCCCGTGCCCTAAACCCAAAACCCTTGAAAATCTAACCGATAACCTACATAATTACATACTCTCCCAAATGCTGAACTACATATCCTAAACCCAAGTACCCAGCTGTTGGGACCAATTACGGCCACGCCAAGGTGCCACCTCCTTTACACCCATGATAAAGCCCCCTTTATAAGAATCCCTACACCTCCCTCAAAGGATCCTCAATTAGGTCCGGGCCACCACCTCCATGAGTCTTGCAGTGGCGGTCTGGAAGAGCAAGAAGGCGCCGAGCACGACCGAGTGCTGCTTCATCCAGCCGCCTCAGCTGATACTTCGGGGCTTCAGGAGTTCAGGGCGAGGGTTGTCGGGTTAGGGTTCGGGTTTAAGGTTGAGGGCCGGCTCATCGATAATTCGGGGCTTCAGGGATAGGATTGACGGTTTGGGCTCTGCGCTTAGGATGTAGGGCCGAATGATCGGGTGTTGCGTGGAGTGGAGCAGATAATCAGGGTGCCGAATGGACGGCGTTTGCCGCTGTAGGCTGTGGGGCTTGTCAGGATGACTGTAGAACTATCCTCAGCGGCGGTGCCCCAAACACTTCCATTGAACAGTTTGAACCCCAATCCGGTTGAGGCAAGACACATTGACTTCACTGAACAGTTCAACGGCGCACAAACATCGATGCTCAATGTCAATCACGAAGCATCTGAACAACCCTTGTCGTTTGGGCCCCAGCTCAGCACCCCAAGTAACAACTCTTGGCATTTGATGCGCATGGTCGCACTTGGATCCAGTAGGCTTAGATGGTCCCCGCAAGTGGGGTCTCTCCCTAAGGCTTATGGGGTTCCAAGCCAGGGTGTAAGGTTAGTCTTGGTTCCTGTTAAGGAACTTAACTTAAGTCACCACAATTAATAGGGGTTTGTAGAAAATGATGGGGTTTCCTTAGCATGGCAACTTATTCAAACTCCTGTAAAAGAAGCAGTAGGAGTTTCATGCAACCTCCGAACAAGGGACTTCCGGCCAAGACACGAGGCAGCTGCGCTCTGCCCTCTTGTGCTTGAATGCGCTTGAGCACAGCAGCTAACGAATCAAAGCTTTGGTCAGGTCTGGTAGCCCCGGTCGCGCGCGGCGCGGGGCCCTCTTGCTGGTCTGTGTAGTGGTCTTGCTGCATAGAGACTTAGAAGGAAGATACTCTTGTTCTTCTGAAACTGCCATCTAGCAAGACAGATATGCCCCAATTCCAGTCTGAGCGCTCAACAAGACTTGGAGTATCATCGGTACTCATCTGGAGTCTACATTAAGGCATAGCTCGGAATCTACAACCTTACATACCTCAGGAAACTTCGAAACCGAACCCTACATAGGTTTAGGGTTCACCCTTAACCCTGATAGCCCTAAACAACCCTAAAACCCTAACGGATCCTAAAGGAAGTGCGAGCCCAAGCCTCTCCAAAGGCCCTCGGAGTCTGCGAGGAACAGGGCCGAACCGGGGTCGCAAGGCCTGGCGTCGCAGTCGCTTGCAGCGTCGTGATGTTCCAAGTTCCGTGCTTCATGCGTTTAGGGTATCTAGGGGTTAGGCTCTTAGGGATTAGCCTTAGGGCCTAGGGTTTATAGAGCTTTCTGGCTTAGGATTGAAGAGTGCTCCTCCAAACTTGCTGATTCCTATCCAGCATCCCTGGCTTCAGCCCTAGGCCAGAAACCATCCTCGCCAAAAATCAGCCTCACGAAACAAGAACCCCGGAGAAGTCGGCCCTGTGGCCCTGACCGGGTCTTCCCTTCCGAGTCCTACAGCCCAATGCAGAATGTTCACAAACCCAAAGGTTAAGGTTTAGGGTTTAGGGTTGAGGGTTTAGGGTTGAGGGTTTAGGGTTTAGGGTTTAGGGTTCAGGGTTTAGCAAAGCCCTTTGAACGGATAGAACATCTGGAAATCAGGGAAGAGCACATACACAATACGCCAATGCCCAGCCTCTCCTACATCCTTCGGCGCCTGGCCGCCAAGAACCTGGTTCAGATCATGTGCAGCTTAAGATAAAGATGATAGCAATCTAGGAAAATACTAACACATGAGAATGATACTCCCCTGAAGACTAACCGACACTACAACTGAACCGTGGTTTAAGCTGTAGGATTTAGAGTGTAGCGCTTAGGGTCAGTCCTAAACCTGTGGGGCTTAGATGTTTAGCTTTAGGGATAAACTCTAAACATAAGCTAAACCCTTCACCTGGGGTCAAGTTGAAGACACCGGAGGAACAGTTCAGAAACAGTGGGCATGCTACAAGTCTGTGATCGGTCACTGGGGTCGCTGCCCAAACGCTTCCGTGCCAAAGCACCACCGAGTGGCTGAAACCGCAGCTAATGCCTCAGTGCTTAGTTTAGGGTTTAGGGTTTAGGGCGGCTTCCTTCGTGGAAGCATGTGTTCCTAAAAGGTGTGCCGTCTATGCCGGCCACATCGATCGCAAAGGAATGTTGACAAACCTGTCGAGCCCTGAGGTTGCAACAAGTGTCATTGAATGCCGAGCTTGGCTTAGGTTGGCATGCAGGCAAACAACAATCAGCAGAAATTCGCGGGCGGATGCGCCGACAAAGAGACAGAGCGACAGAGCAATACACAAACTCAGCGAGCAGAGACACCTGCCGAGGCGGACACAGATGGATGCATGACACATGCAACAATCACCGACTCCGTAGATATCAGGTTCGATAAACAGGCCAAGCTCAGAATAGCCTCTGGTCAGGTTAGCTAAGGGACGGACTACTACAACATTGCTGGAGTCGCGGTATTGAAAGAAATATTATTCATCTTAGAGCTCGCGACGATGGAATGTACCGAAATTCATGGATATGTCAAAGTTGGTCACGATGATCACGAAGGTGATGGTGATGTTGTTTGCTGCTAACGACAATAACGATGACGATAAATAACTAACGAGACAGCGACGAAGAACCCCGGTACTGCTTACTGCAGCATTGCAGACTGCGAAGTGCTGTGTTGCTCTGCTGACTGGCTCTTGCCAACAGATTCTGAAGGCCCTGGCGGTCGGCACGTGAGGGCCGCGTCGGGTGAAGGACGACCGGCTCGGGAACCTGACAAAGGCTGGCGCTGGGGAGTTGACACTTCTGGGGCTGCACAGCTCTTGGGGCCGGAGGCCACGTGGCTGTGTGGCAGTTCAAGGTCCTAAGGTATAGAGAGACATCCCCCGGATTTGGGGCTGGATTGTCTGAGGTACACATCGAGATCGACACCTGAAGTCTCAGAAGGCTGCCAAACCACAATCACGAAAGCACCAACACCCCAAACCTCACCCTAGCAACGCATCTACCGTTGACCCCAAGAACTCCTTCAAACCAAACTCCGACACCCGACTTGCCGAAGTCACAAACTTCAAAACCCCAATTGGGTCTGGACGCAGCGACCCGGCAAAGCAACCCTGAATGGAAAGTATCTAGTTCAGCTTCGCTCTGCCGAAACCCTAAACCCTAAACCCTAAACCCTAGTTTACAGGCTCGGCCAAAATTTCAAAACCTACCCTAAACCCTAAACGCTAAACCCCTAAAGCCAAAACTCAAAACCCACCCTAAATAAACCCCAAACCCTAAACCCCTGAAGCCAAAACTCAAAACCCGGAAACACCCTCCAGACCAGCCCCGACCAATTAACCAAGTCCCCAGGCCAAGCGATCTCTCTTAGAGCCAAGGCCCAGCTGCCCCTGGGATGGTGTGTCGAGGTTTAGGGTTTAGGGTTTAGTTTAGGGCTTAGGGTTTAGGGCGGTTTAGGGTTTAGTGCTTAAGGACGAAGGTTTCGGGGCTTTGGGTGTAGGGGGTGAGTAGCAATTCGGGTTTTGAGTTTGGGGTTGAAGGTTTAGGGGTTTCAAGTGCGGGGTCAGTGCTCTCTTGAGGCTCTTCGGGCTTGAGGAGTAGTGGCTATGTGGATGTCTCAAAGTTGTCCACTCCTGGGTGTTTCGGGCTTGGCATTTACCGGTTGGAGATTTGAAGTCTATTATCTCTTGACAAAGAAGGGTGTGCTTGGTCAGGTACGTAACCAACGGGACGTCAGATTGGCCGGGTACAAGGCGATCTGCTGGTTGGGTTTAGAGTAGATGTTGGGGCATGAACATACACGCATGTAGAGTCAATGTAGAGCAGCCTGGCTAGCGCTGCTGAAGAGAAGAGGGAAGATTGATACTTGGGACTGCGCCGTGGTTTTGGGATGAATGTCACTGTTGACACATCATCGCGGAAAGCAGCACCGAGTCAATGTGTCTGTCTCGCAAGCATCGGCGTGCCATGCAAAACAGCTTTTTGCCAGCTGTCAAAAGTCGCGTCAACGCAAGCCAAAATCACCACTCCACCCGTGCAAGGACCTGACAACCCGCTGAGTGGAACTTTGTCAGCAAACAGTCCAGAGCTACAGACATGTCATCAACATTTGTGGGACTTGACACTTCGATTGCACATCCGCGGAAACAAGTTGCTTGGCCAGCACTCATTTTTGCAAAGTTGCCAGCATGCCGGACTAAGTAAAACGCGGACGGGCTGTATATGCCGAGGAGGAGCTCGTCAAAAGCCGAAACGGCGTTCAGTGTATGCTTGGCATCCTTCACGTGCGAAAAACGTAATTTCCATTGCTGGTCATGATGATTCCAATGCACCTTTGAGCTTTTGAACTCAACTCTGTGGTCATCCCGACACCAGTCCGAACTGGTTCTTACTGTTCCTCGTCTTTGCAACATCCGCTCCCCAATCAACGCGTCCGCTCCTGCACCGACGGTGAAAATGCTTTTTGGATGCAGCATCTGGTCAATCTTGTAGGCTAACTCATGCAGCCGGAAGCCACGCGAAGGCCCGGATAATTCTGCGAAGGGGGCAGTCTCGTAAGAGTCCCATGAACGCAAATAGCTGGTTTGGACAAGCTCTTCCTCGACAGCACATCTTACGGGATCTGCATCAGTTCTCCAGGATGCAATGTGGCGGCAGGCATTGGGGAAAAGAGATAGTTTATTAACGATTTGCTGCCGAGCTGCCTCGACATCAAGCGTTCCCACGCTGGCTCCGCAGCAGACATCTTGTCCCAAGGCTGCCGTGGCCAGACCACGGTGGGAAATACCAGCTCTCAGGTCGTGCAGCATGATATCAAGTCTGAATGGTGTATGCAGCACCAAAATCAAATCATCGAACGGACACTTCCTTCCACTGGTCACAGAGGCAAACTTAATGGCCTGCCATTTGGCCCTCCAGAATCGTTGCGAATTCTGCCAGGCAAGACGGGTGCTTTTACACTCCACGCGCCTTCCCTTGACTAACCAATCAAACTCGCGTTGATGCCTCCCCCGTCTTTGTCCATTTACACAGAGCCCATGCGGCAGTTCTGTGTGTTCGCCTGATACCGACGGCGAGAATATTTGACGGCTTTCTTGCAGAACCCTCTGGACAACTCTCCCTCGTCTTGATGCATCTAGCCGGCAGAGTGGATCTCCGGCAAAGGCTGCGTCCGTGACGCTGGGGCTTCTGTTGAAGATCTCTGGGAAGCTGGACGCCTGAAATGTCAGAATCCGCCGCCTGCAGTTCGGCTGCATGAGACTCCGTACGGATTGAAGACATTGGGATCTCCAGCACGTCATGGCCGTCCGACTTTTGGGGTTGATGCTTTAGGACTTTATAATTCAACTTATAGCACATGAGAGATCCATTTCAGGGCACATCATCCTGAGACTGCATCCATACGTCACCAAGCCTGGCTACGTTCTTGCAAGACAGCCCAAGACGCACCGCCCCTTGGGACCCTCCATCGGTAGGCCAAGAATCTAGGAGATGACTTTTCTGGCTCACTCCATCAGGATTGCTAGCTGTTCTTCAGGTTGCTCCAACTCATTCCCTGGGGCTCCAAATAGCCCCAAGTAGGTACTATTTGCAGGCTTTAGACCCCAAAGTAGGTACTATTTGTATACTTGGAGCCCTGGGGATTAGTTGTTGCAGAAGCAATAGATCACATGATGAATCTCGCAGCCGGTCATGAAACCTTCGACATCCCAGCCCTCAACCGTGCACCCCAAGTCTTGCACCCAAATTACCTGCGATGATGATGCGTGTCGGGACCATATCGAAGATGCTTGCATAACTCTATCACTCTTCTATCTCGTAGGCCCAAGATACTTGGCAACAGATTAGCCAAGCTGGCCTAAAGGCTTCACCTCGCCTTTGAAACCAAGGGCAGGCCTTCTCATTGCCTCCACAGCCCAGGACGCGCAAGTCGTCCGTGAGGAGGAGAGTGTGGGTCCTTCACATGTTCGGATTCCTGGTCTCGGGTTTCAGGCTGGCGACCTGAGTTTTTTCACTGGGATTTAGTGAAATTTAAGATGTGGTGGTTTTGTTTAGGTTGGGTTCGGAGCTGAGGATCCTTGGCTTCATTTTCCTCGCGGTGTCCAGGGTTTTCAGGCTTCAAAACCTCAAGCTGAAGGTATATGTATGGTAAAGGGTCGGAATTTGGCTGCCTTAAGCAGTTTGTCTCGCTGAGGCTACAAGATGCATCTCAGATTCGAGGCATGAGCATAAAGAACCTCAGAAGATCCTTCGCTTCGTCGCTATGTCACATGCATATCGGGTACTCAAAGGCGGCTTGTGTCTGCCAAGCTCAAGAACAGTTCGGTCCCGCCACAATCCACATCGACCACCAATGTGCCAGCAGGTACTGCGACCTCTTTGCTGGCATGAGCTCCATCAATGAGGGCTCTGAGGTTTCGGGCCTTCAGGCTTGCTGGGAGGGTGGCATGGTTCGCTGTTGGGGCTGCGAGGAAATTGGCAGATGCTTGTGTGGACTGCTCCGATTGACGGCTTCGAGAGTTTGATGACTGTGTGAGGTTTACGGGCGCAAGGCTTGATGGCGTCAGAGGCTCTTGGTTGTGCGACATTCATCCCTCTACGCCTTTCATTTGCGTCAGTCTCTAGGGTAAGGTCCCTTTTTAGGTCACAAAGATAAGACGGCACCCTTATACAGAGGACCCTGCAAGGGGACCCTAATTCAGAGAACTGCGCATTTCTAGCCAAAGCAACCCGAAACCAAGCCAGGGTGCCATGGCAGGGCTGGAGACGGATTCACCTCGCATCGAGACCGAGATCTAATAGAGTTCAAGGCTCAGGGCTGGGGACTTGAGTTTCAGGGTTTGGGGCTTGGCATTTCACGGTTAGGATTTTATGCTTGTCGATGTTGGTTCAAGGTCTTCTTCCGGGGTAATTAGGACTCGGGGAGGTGGGAGGGGGGTCACCGGAGATAGGGTCTTCGAGATTTCATGTTTGGGGTTCACGGTGCTTGCGGGTTCAGATTTTGGAGTCCCCTGTCGAGTACAGAGCTACGACTCTGCATGGTAGGATACCTTCAACAGAGCAACCGCAGCATCGTAGCCCTGGGTCCCCCTTCGGCAAATTAAAGGAAACTACAGGTGGG